AGACGAGTTTCACGAACTTCCGTGCAGTTGCTCCAGTGCCAATGACATTGAACGGCAATGCAAGTGCTGCCATAGTTTCTCCGCGCTTGTCAAGCTGCCTAACGTGGCTAATACAGCGGAAGGCGGGCTTGCGGACAGAGGAGTGGACTGCGGGCTGAGCGAGCTTCTAGCGCCTTTTTATCGCACTTCAATGCCGCGAAAGGGGCGATTGTCCTTCATACCGCTTACTGCTCTCGGGTATGGGTCAGGTAAGCGTGCCTAAATCTGGAAATATCGGGTATAAATCATCGATGGCTTTGTAATTGTGAAAGACCTCTCAAGCGCAAAATCACAAGTACGAGCAATCGTTTGTATCATAGAATATCGTCAAGAAGTCCGAATATCTTCAGGGATATGGACAGAAGAAGAGGAAAATGTGAAGCGTCAAGTACCTAACAAAGCAGAACGGTGAGCATTCTAATTTAAAATATTTTCATGATTGTTCTCATCGTCATTCATGAAATATTTGCCATCTACAATTCTTTTGGCATACAAATACAATAGATACGATCAATCATCGGTTAGTTAGCCCAATCCCTTCCAGGGGCTTGCAGTGCATGGCCGGGCATTGCCCTTCCTCCTCTTAGCCAACCACGGACCCCTCTCTCCAATTTTCTCTCCCTTCATATCATAATTGTCATGACACTGTGTCATATATCTCTATAATCTATTTATTCTACATAATCTGTGCTCTAATCTATTATTCTCTATTGTAATTGTAACCATTCTTTAGCCATTATTCCTATAATCGCTGTGCAATAGTTATCGGAATGAAAATAAAATCGCTCCTGCACTTCCACACCTTGCAGGCTACACGGCTAAACTACGAGAGACTAAACAATTTTTTTTATTTTTCGCATTCATAATAGTAATGTAAAAACAGTCTGTCTTACAAGTAGAGAACAAATATAAGGGAGAACTTGATTCAGCATTTTTCTAGAATATTAAAACATTAGAGCAAGTCAGTCTGAACATACTCGTGTAGGACGTTTTTGAGCACTTCAAAATAAAAGAATGCGTAAGCTTATCGTTTAAAAGTCAACCGTTTTGTTATGAGGAGGAACTGAGGCATATGCGGATGATCACATCGTTTACGGTGATCGATGGTCGGCCACAATATGCGATTGAGGTTGAGGCTAATGGTCGTCGAACTCAGAGATTTAAAAGCGGCTTACTGTAAGTTTTGAACGGAATCGCCGTTTTGGATTCAAATCAAGATCGGCGGATTGCAAAAACCAGTATTTTTTGTTATTTCGGCAGATGATGCGTGATGTTCGAGACAAGGAGGAACGCCACCAATGCAGCCGGTGGATCTTCGGATGCTAATCTTTGTGCTTCCCTTCTCATTAATTTTCTAACTGGATGTCGTCCCTATTTACGTACTGATAGAGCGCAATGTAATAGAATAGTGTTTGATTGGCTGAGAAAATGCGTTTTTTTGTCTGGGGGGAGGCAACTTGATTGGACGATGATGACCACCACTGCGGATGACAATAGCTTTCACGACACACTCGTTCAAAGTTATCTCCTTGATAAGAACGGGTGAAGTACCCTGAATCCTACCCTTCTGATCATAGCAGTCATGCTTTCAAGAGCATCGAGTCTGCTTACATTTCCAGAAAGGTCAACCTTCTGTAGTTGTGCATCCCGTTCCACATCCCGATATCTCTAAGTAACGAAGAATAGATCGAAGTTTGTAGTGAAAAATGTTTGTTTACGGGTTGTGCGGAGCTGTGCCGAAATATTTTTCAGTGACGAATAGTGATTAAAAACCAAATTGTAAACTGGTATAGGCTAGTGTTATCGTATGACATTTGCGTTTTTAGAGATCTCAAAGAACACTCACTGAACAAATTCAATCAAGGCCTTAAAGGCACACCCCTTAATCAAACTTGATTGTTGCATACAAAAACGACGACGGGTGCACTGGGACCCCGCAGTGGGCAACAAATGAGCAACCTGCTAAGAACTCTGAAAGTAAGGGCTTTCACATTTCATAAATGAGGCTGTGCTGCGACGAAGAGACAACGAATACAAAGGAGGATAGGAGAAAGCACAATGGGCACAGGCGAGATCTAGAGTGTCGGTGTTGAAAAAAAGCAGAAGCGGTTGCAGCGGTCATAGCAAGGCTTTGGCGGCCTTTTAACTGGGACAGTGGCACATCTGCGACTGTTGTGTGGGATTCTATCCGACCTACTGAAGGGAATCGTTCATCTTAAGTCATCCTCAACATCCCTTTTCTCCCGCCCGAACCCTCTTTCTACATACTATACTAACGAGTGTCGAGTTGGATAGATGCGACCCTTCTAACTCATAAAGGCTAACTCCCACGTGATCCCTAATTTAGCTCCTCATCCTTGGTGACTATGCTGCTTCTGGCTGATCTAGCCAACCCTCCCTTGATTGATACACATTAGTGATTATGAAGAGTGCTGGGAGATAAGAGCAAGACTTCTTGGTACCATTAGCGAAAAGGGGGTCTAGGGAAACCCTCCAGGAGTTCACATGACTGATACTTAGGGGATGGCTTTTTGTATTTGTACTCTTGAAGAGCTGATCTAACGAGCACATCCTTCATGAGTAGAGCACGTGTAAAAACTGCAGGTTGAACATGTTCTTTTGAGGCATCTCCGAGCACTTGTCTGAAAGAGAACACCTACCTCATCACGCTTTCAATGCGATTGAATGCTGAGGTGTCAATGTACCTACATCCGACATGGGTTATGGGTAAAGCGACCTTCACTCGCAGACAACTATAAACATTATCGAAAATTTCATTCACAAGAATGGAGGTGAACAAGGAGATTTATTTTTCTGTGAATTATAAACAAAAACCGTTCGACATACTTACCAAACATGAAGCGATATGTATGATATAGTTAGAAGAACTCAATACGGCCCTGTCGCTTTCCCTAGGTTGAACACGGCCCTTAAAAGAAACCGAATTTCGGCGAGTGCAGCGTGGAAGGGAAAGCGGTCATCAGTATCGATGACCTGATTCACCCGAAATGGACACAAACTGTTGCGCAGACGAGAAACATGTCCTCGGTTCCGAGGAAAAGTCCAACGATTCTCCAAGAGGACAGGAGACATTCTCAAAAGGTGATCTACCACGTGCTTTCTCATCCAGTAATTCGCTTTCACAGGGCATTGCTTGTACTATTGTATTGCAATGATAGTAAACTGTTTAGTGGTCGCGAAGCCCATAGGCATCCTTTAAGTTCGAATTAAGATAAATTAAAGTTGAATAGATCTTCAAGTTCCAAATACAGCGACTATTGCAACGGTCGCCATTACGTGGCGGAGAAAAACTGGTGAGTTCGATTTGACGATACCCTGCTTTCTAAGCTATAATCGGAGTACAAACAGAATTGGAAGAGTGGTTGTGCATAGTACGTTCTCAGAGCATTCGGGCTTTTGAGAGCTTTGTAATGGCGTGGGCGGAATAGGGCAGGCTAAAGGCAATTACGAAATAAGGCTAAAGGCATAATGTGATAGCTCTTAATCTTCTACTGGAAAGCGATTTTGGTAACCTGGCAGCTCCACCTGACTCGAGCACTGACTGGAGGCACGGAGCCCACAATCCTGACTTTCTAATGCAGATTAGATCTGTTATGAGAACGGAGCAGAAGCGTTGCTTTCGAACCTGTAATCGAAAATTAGCGAGTTTGAACTCCAGGCTTTTAGAAAAGGAGGATATCGTGGATGCGCTAAAGGAGAAAGACGTGTGACTAAGGACAGACTTACAGGGCGAGCCACTAAAGGGTCCAGAATTGGGCCAACGATGGAAGCGTCATCAGATATGAATCGCCCCAGACTCACGCACAATCTCTCGCAAATCTTGTCGCCACGCCAAACACATCTAGACCCTCGGAAAAATAAAATCGAGATCTGAGACAACGGCGATAACAAGGACACTGCGAGAAAGGGTGTTCGCAGGTATGACTTCTTGTTTTCTGATCCATTAGAAAGAATTTTCCAGCTGTGATGTGTATTCAGTAGCACTACGGCAAAAGGGACCTTCTGATAGCACTTGAGCTACAGTACTCGTATCTTCAAGAAGACCGTGACATTTCGCTATCTCCAACATCTGGAACAGTAATTTTACACCAAGAGACAGTAAAAGTGTACTCGGGCAGCCTTACCCTGTTGACAGTATGCAACGATTTCTGAGTGGGTTTCGCAAGATTACAGTAAGACAGCGTGGCATTTAACATGGCAAAGCACAGCTTGTCATACAAGACAGTATCTTTTTTCTGAAGGCTACTCACGGGGAGAGGGTAAAAAACGAACACTTTGCTTATGACATTGCATAGCAGCAATCTTGAACTCGCAAAGGTTACTGCGGTTGATGGTGTTTTTTGCAAAATATTCCTTGGATGTCAATCCCACTCCCCCCCCCCCATGAGCAGAAGTCGACCTTCCTTCACAGGACTGTTCAGAATACGACGTCATCTGACATCGCTGTCAAGGAAACCTACCGTAATCGCTCCTGGCTGACGCTGATACATAATTCCTTTAACAGGTTAACTGATTGTTAAAAACCACAATCCAGACGGCATGCTCTGAGTATGTAAGAACCCTGCTCACCTGCGTTCTAGATAACGTCAAAATGGTCCACAATCCTTTGAGGACCACGTTTAGTTCGGACCGTGCACAACGTTTTTGTCGAATTCTCCTGAGGTTCTTTATATAGAAAGTTATTATGACGTCTGTTGGAATGCACTCTTCAATTTACTCAGTCAACCTCAAAATGAATGCCTGTCTCTATACTTTCCTGTTAACGAGTTTTCACTACTTGACTAGTGTTCTGGATCTCATTTTGTCGTACTTCCTACCTCTGAACCTACATATGAAGTGGGGATAATGCGTAATCGGCGGAAGATTTAATGACAGGTTAGTCATAGAGGAACAAGCAAATTGGTGGATGCGTAGAACGGAACAAGAAATAAAGGTATACAGAAAATGAACTCAAGATGGGGCAACTAAATCAATACTGTTAGGATTAAACCGGAACGGCGTTCTGCAGTAAAACAGCGAAAATGCTTCTCTCGAGTTTAAAACGATTCGCGTTACTGGTTTCTGCCTTTCATTCACTGTTACTTGACTGAACGGTATAACAAAAAGTTGCCACCGGAGAAACACCACACACCACAACACGAAAATAGACTGTTTCGCTCAAAGAGGTAAGAACATTGATACTTACGAAGCCCTTCTCTTTGATGGAGCTATTGCGATAAGAGGCTGATCAAACGATTCTGCATGCGCCTGTCCTTCGACCCTGACCAGAGGCAGCTGAGGGTGTAGTTATAGTTTTACGTATCAAAAAGCACTGTTATCTCGCAGTCGACGCCACTGTGAGAGCTTCCTCGCTGATTCAGACGTTCGGCCCGTACGTCGTGAAAGTCGGAGCGGCACCTTTCGCATAACGACATCTTCTCCTCCTGCCACCTAGATGCACAAACCAATGGATGTGTTGAGCAAAATGTTGCGAATGAGCCGAAAAGTGTAGGGGCCGTTGACGATGCAAAATGAGGCGCCGCTGTGGCAGAAGCCGCTCCAGAAAGGACATTGCTAGGCGCCAAACGCTGATCTGTCCCTTCGCTGCTCCACTAGACCATTAGTATTGAATCATCCGCGTCTTCTGGCTGATC